AATCCGGAATAAATACGATGACCTAGAAGAATAAACTAAGGTCTCCAAAGTTTTCATCCAAAGGGTGCACTATGTAGAGTAAAAATGTCTGCTGAGCGGCGACCCCGTCTATGGAACAAATTTACATTTTTTGAGAGGAAGGTAGGGAGTTTTCTGGGATTAGTCATGATTCAAAAAACAAAAAAAAACTAAATGGCTACGATAAGTATTGGGAATGTAAAATTTACGTCTCTTTCAGATGTCTCCTTTAGAAGACAGTAAGGTATAAGCCATATTATTAGCAAGTTTTAAGACGAAATCTACTAGTTTTCCTAAGTAACTTTTTCATGTCGCAAATGATAATAAGTTCACCGTTTCTAACGGTATCCAAAAAACCCTATATATAACGATTAGAAATTTTTTTCTACCGGTAATGAAAAGTTGTTCAGGTATTAACCTCAGATTCCAACATTACAACGTCGAGTTATAGTCATGTTACGCCAAGGACTTTGGTTAGTTTGATAATTTTATTTAAAGTAGCTTGGCTAAAGACCTTAAAAACATAAAAGATCTTATATCACAATGCGATTGGTAAATTCTTTTAAATCTTCTCGATGTAACAAAAAAATGAGGTAATCAAAAACGAGAGGAAATAAACTTTTCATCAACACTGTGACATCAAGTCGTTGATGAGGCTGTTAAGGCTCTCAAGTTTACTTTTAAAGGCAGAATCTTCGGGTATAAAAGTGAACCAATCAAATGCAATAGAAGAATATTCGAAATCAAATAAATACAAGTGCAGCAACGGCAACAATGAACGCAAACAGCAGGGTGCTGCGTTCTTTAATTTTAGTTTTGCGTTTTGTTTTCTTGTTCGGAAGTGAGCACAGGTTCTCGTAAAAATATACGCGCGTTGCCTGTTTGTGGCATCACATTGCCCTCCTCAACGCATTCTACCATTGTTACTGGCATCATTTAATCTCGTATTTACTTGGCTTTAACTGACCTTTCTCTAAAAGGGAATTAGCATTGTGTTTTGTTGTTTTGCCCTGCGGCCAATGCCACTGCAGCCAAATGTATTTTATCAGCATATCATATTGTTGATATGATAATAATAATAACAACAAGTAAGGAAGGGTTAAGTTCGGGTGTAACTGAAAATTTAATACTCTTGCAAATTGCAAAAATAAAAACCCAGGAAATTCCTTTATGTTAAAAAATGTTGCGAAAGAATTAAACATCCATTATCCGATGAAATCGTGAATAAATTACAATCAAATTTGGTATATTCTTGACATATATTGAAGGCCATAAACGTAGACTCAGTTTTATTGTTATATTTTAGGTCAGCTGAAAGTATATTAAAAACACCTTCAATAAGACATATGTATGTGATATTAACTCGCTCGAAAAGGCTTAATTTAATATATATTGACTTGATGTGGGTGAGAGGATCGGAGTTCTCTGTATTAGGAATATGAGGTTTAGACCAAGATATATATTTATTTTAATTCAGTGCCAAACCACATAACTTTAAAGTAAACTTGTCCATTTAATTTCAATAAAATAACACATTTCGACCAACCAGAATGGTTTAAAGTCAGGCGAAAAGACGGAAGTCATTATATGGAGTACTTTAGGGGCATAAAACTTGTTAGAAAAACGAAAATCATTATATGCACTATATGGGAGTTAGTATTGTATCGATTTTTATCTATTTTTGCCAATATCGCATACTATTAACATGCCATAGACTAATAAAGCGCTTGCAGGGTTTCATTCAGGTACCTCACATACCATCACCAATCTATATGGAGCAAAGTCAGCCGGATGTACGAAAATGCTGATATTAGTGATATGGGGGCTAAGTCAAGTTTTCACCCAATTTTATGCATTTTAACTACATATAACTCACATACTTGCTCACATCGCCAATATATGCGCTAAAAAGTCACCCGGAAGTTCAAAAATCTTTATATTAGGTATATGGGAGCTAAGGGAAGTATTGACCAGATTCAACACATTTTTGGCATGCAGACATACTAGTATCAGAAATCCAGGATCCTCTCTGAATTTCAATTATATGTCTCACACATTGACCGATATTTTCATTATCAACTATAGGTACTAGGGTCTACATATTCGGTACCTAGGGGCTTGAACAGTTTTGGTTTGATTTGCACAAGTTTTGGTCATTAGGTAGCATACTTTAAAGAAACTATTCGCGCAAAGTTTTATCACGTTATATTAATTGCTTCTGGATTTTGATATATACCGGAAAGCGAAGATGGAATTTAAAATTGTGTTCTACGGGAAGTAGGCGTGGTTGTGACATAGGAATATCAGAAAAATTTTATACACCGAATTTTGTTGAAATGGGTCAGGTAGATTACGAGGTATGGGTTATCACTTAAAGCTGGGCGATGTCGCGCCCATTACCCAATTTTGTTATTGGTTGCTATATGTATCGTCCCATGTGTAAGATCCAAACTTTCTCACTTATTTATTTTATGAGTTATCCTACTTTTAGTAGTTTTCATCAAAACGGTTATATGGGCAGTAGGTGGGATAATATCCAATTTCAGCCATTTTCAGACTATCGTTAAAAGTACTAATGAGATTTGTCTTGAGTGAATTTGGTGATTTTAGCTTTAATGGTTTAGGAGATATGCACATTATACCTAATATAGCCACTTTTAAAAAGTTTTTTAACCGAAGATGCCTCTCCTCTTGGCGTGGCAATGGTCCGATTACGCAATACCATCTACAATACCAACCGTCTAACTTTACCAAGAAACATGTGTACAAAGTTTTATCAAGATAACTAAATTTTCAATCAAGTTACAGCCTGCGCGGACGGACGGACAGACGGTCACCCGGATTTCAACTCGTCTCTTTATCCAGATTATTTATATATCAACCGTTAGGTGAACAAAACTATTATACTCTGTAGCAACATGTTGCGCGAGTATAAAAAAAAGACATGCCTGTGGCTTGGACATAAACTTTGAAGAAGCAAGCTAGTTCTTTATTCGCTTTAGATATTTTTGTTCTTTTATTTTTCTTTTGACAAAAATGTTCATCAATTTTGATTTAGAAAGCTTTAACTGAGCTCTGTCAAGAATGACTTACTAAAACAAATGTTTATTTAGAGCTAAAGTGTCGTGTTGTTCCTTACAATAAGAACGGTAAATGGATACAAAAAGGTCTCTTCAAAATATTTATAGATATGTATTTTTCCGACAGTCTGAAACATTATTCTGTAAACATTCTATGAAGAAGTTCTTCATGTATTCAACAAAAATTACATTTTTAATATTATGTAATATATTTTTATAGAAAGTTTTCTTAAAACTACTAAAAAAAATCGACACCACCAAGAACAACTAATCAAATTGAAGCGAGAATTTCCGAAAATACCCGAAACTTGCGACTAGAAACGAAGCAATAATTTTCCGGCATGACAACGCTCATCCTCATGTTGCAAGACCAGGTAAAAACTATTTGAAAAACAGTGTTTGTGAAGTTTTGCCTTACCCGCCTTATTGCCCAGACCTTGCCTCTTCTGACTACTATTTGTTTCAGTCGATGCTGAACGCCCTCACTGGAATATGGCGCCCAGCAGATTCAGTATCATTTTTAGCCGCCAAGCCGGCGTACTTGTAGCCCTTTTGGGATGGAATCCACAAATTGACAGAAAGATGAGAAAATCTTATTGTTAATATTAGAGCAATCTCAGAGATTTGATTAAGAACTTAGAGATATAGCATCACTTCAAGTCAGTCCATTTTATTCTTAACATTGATATACGCGAAAGAAGTACGAAAGAATCTTCTTATATAAAAAATATAATGATTGAGACATACTCTCATTAACAGAATCCCCCATTGAAATAAAAATAATAATTTTTTAGAACAGCAATAAATGGTCGACTCAAACGTTTGTTTCAAACAAGAGCTTCGAAGCTATAATACCCTTAACAAATAAATAAAAAAGAAACCTTACAAAAACTTTGATTGGTCAGTTTGTATGGCAGCTACAAGTATGTATATGCTTTAGTAACTCGATCTGAACAATTTCTTCGGAGATTGAATATCTCGTCACATGTAAAAGTTGTCCATGCCAGCACTTTATTTCGATCGTACAGTTTGTAGGGCAGATATATGCTATAGTGGCTCGTTATCGGACAAGTACAAAATTTCATATCGATATCTCAAAAACTGGGAGACTAAATCGCATATATATAGAAGAACAAACAGACGGACATGGCTAAATCGACTCAGCTCATCATCCTTATCATTTATATATATATTTTATACAGTATCCGACGTTTCCGAGTTTTCCATGTTCGACTTTTTGAAAATCCACAGTTATGAATAACATTTTCATTGTCATTATCTCTTGGAAAACACTGTAGACAATCCAATAAGGCTAGATAAACACATGATTTCCTTCCATATCCCTTCATGCATGAATATCGAATCAAAAGTATAAGTTACAACAAAAATATAACATTGACCAATAGTTCCCACACATTTCATAGGCACAAAAAGGTTAAGGTTACACATGGTCAAACAAACAACACAACTTTCAAACACATGTATAAATATATACATATGTACACAAAACACCACTAGGCAGGTACCAAACTGACCAGCGCATAAGACTAGAAACAACACAACAAAAAAGGACGGTTCTATAGTAGAAACTAGGAAATTAGCAGACCATTAAAGCAGAAAAGAGCCTAACGATTGCAAATAAATACAAGTGCAGCTCGAAATGCCGAAAATAATCCTGAAAAATATTGTAGTATTTGAATTTCACTTCCTACAACTTAAACATACTTATACATGTATTTTTTTTTGGTGTGCGAGGTTATCCCTTGCACACACGACAGGTTGGCTAACATGCCGGGTATGCTGTTGTTTTTTCCTGCATATACAGACGTGCGTATTTACATTTTGCCTTCACAAAAAAAGTTTGAAAACCGTAAAGATGAATTTTTGTAATTGCTCTTTTACCTGTTTCGCTGCGTGCTGGAGACGCAAATGTTATGGATGATTGATATTCAGCATTCACGGCGCGACAAGCTCTGGTTGCGTATCAAAATGTGTTTTACTCCAAAAATGTGAGTAAAAATTTCGATATTTCATTCAGTTGCGTTAATGGTGATTTGAAATTGAAAAAAAAATTGCTATGGAAACACTGATTTCCGCTGTGACTTGCGCTTTTATTAAATATATTTTAGTTGATGATAATTTTTTCGCTTCGTTTTTTTTTTTTTGTTATTAATTTTTAATTTCTTAGCCCTGTGGTATCTGGTATTGATCGAATAGCGTCTGGCTTTACTGATGCATATTCAATTGACGTTGTTTCGCTTGAATCGCGCGGTGAGTAATGCTGCTATATCAAGTATTTTCATTTGCAAACACAGAAAAAATTGCTATATTGAATGCATGCAGCTTTCAAATACAATTACTTAGTATTTTTAATTCACAATTTTTCGTTTCAACTTGGCTTAAACACCTTTCACGCAATTATTGCTCCAACTTTTGCACGCACTGTTTTTCACTTGTAAATAGGAAATTTAACAACTTTTTTTACTTACTTATATAGCTATTTATATTTTTAGCACATTTTTTTCCCATTAGTTGTTATATACAATTTTTTTTTATTCTTCAAAAAAAAAATTATCGCACATTATTACTATTATTTTTAATTTTTTGATATATGTATGTATGCATGCCGCTATTATTTTCCATAATTCGATTTTTTCTAATGCTATGGCAATGCAAACACTCACTGCTGGCATTCGACACGTTTTGACTACGTCGTGTGTCTTGTAAGAATAAAATTCAAACTTTGGTCGTTGTAACACGCATACCAACACAACTTTACAAGCTTACAAGAGCGGTAAGACGTTGATCCAAATGCACACACATACACACACGATAAGCGCACAGATGCAGATTCGAATACCGACTTTCCTATTATAAAACTTGGCTCAGAGAGACTGCCAACACTTTGGGGGTAAGATGCGTGGTAATTGGATTTTAATATATATAATGTCCAGTTTTGTTGGCGAAAAATGCGTTCGAGTTGTTGTTTTATTTAGAAAAAATTATATTTTCAATTTTAAAATTTGTTTTCTTCTTTCACATGTTGTTAGTATATTTTTTATTTACCAAGTACCAACTTTTATTGTTGTTTTAACATTGGCTTATCAAATTTGGTAACATTTAATTATTGCTTACTGCTTTTATTAGAATATCTTCACATTCACTGCACGAAAAAAATGTGTAACTTTATTTGGCTACGCTATTCACCATTTGCTTGGCTACACTACATTACACTAACGTACAACTATGTACATGCGCTAGACGACCGCTATACGTTCAAAAACACATCCAACAACGACGCCGTCCCAAAGAAAACTACTTTAAAAACTTGTTTTCAGTCGCTTGGCAAGCGGTAGTCAAAACTCGCTGCCAACCATGCTCACTACTCACGAATAATTCAATCCGTCAGATAAAATTTAAACACGCTTACTTACACATTTTCACACACACACATACAAATATGCTAACAAACACTTGGCGCATACGTACACATATGCATGCACACTTCAATTCACTGCCGTTCACCAGCCAACGCATACAATAGCAAGTGCAATGCGCGCGGGTACACAAACACATACATTTACGACTTACAAGCGTACACGTATACACTCATACATAAATAATGGACTCTCTGGCAGTCAGCAAGTGGTTGTGGCGGCAGTTGCATGCGCCGCAAGTGCCACAGCCAGTTTTGTTTTGATTCGATCTTCTACTGAATTTTTAAAATCACATTTAATATTATATTGAAAGCACATTTTGAAATGAAACGGTTAATTTTTGATTGGAAAGCTGGAATAGTTAAAATTAAAACTCAACAGCTAGTATGCTTTTATTATTATATAATTAATTTTTTAATTTTAAAAATTATTTTGCTTTTCCAATTGAAAACATGACTATTTTTCGGTTAATTTCAGCGCTGTTCGTTCACTGAAGAAATTAATAATAAGAGTATTTAAAAGCATATAAAAACATATTTCAATGAGTTAATGATAAATTATTGATTGGCGCATTGAGTTATAAATCACTTTTTTAATCAAATATTAGACAATTAGTTATCCAATTTCTTTCCTATAATTTTTTAAATATCTATTATTATTTTCAATATTAAACGATAAAATAGTTAAAAAAAATGCCAATTTTATATTACACAATTACAATTTAATAGCATAATATTATATTGCACTACATTAATGCATTGATCACCAACACAAAATATTTGTAAATATTAATAATTTTTTTATTTTTTTATTGTTTTTCGAGCAATATATCTACTAAGGAATTAATATATTTCTGCTGCTTTAAAACTTAAATAAACGCATTAAATTTACTCAAATATTATTGCATATACTTGCTACTTAAGGATTTTCTACACAAACACAAACATTTTTTTTTTGTTTTGTTATGAAATTTTTTATGATTTCAAACATTTCATTTCATGCTTTATACTTTTTTTATTTTTAATAGTTATGAATTTTTTTACAATTTAAAACATATTTTTATATTTAATTGTTGATATATTTATGTCAGATACTTTTGCAAAATTATTAACTTTCCACTAAAAAGATTTCAACCTCCACGAGTTGTCTGTATAACATACCTGTATTTATTTGCTTAACGTCAATGCACTACGTAACGTCACATTAACAGCATGCGCTAGCAGCTGTTAACATCCACAGCACAAAAATAACAGCAGAAAAGTAGCGTACAAGCAGGAAAGAAACAAGCAAAAACACACATACATCACTCTAATAAAATCGTTTTGGCTTATCTCACGCCTTGTTATTGCCGGCTAAAGTTTGCGCATGTGCCAAATAAATAATCAAATAAAAGCACACAAGTCCCATTGCAACAAAGGAAAACGAAAATACACTTTTGACAACATTGCCATGGAGTCATTTCGTAGCACACAGGCACACACACACACACTTTAGGACAAGTATGCACTAATGCCACCACACTTGCTGGCAGACTCGTTTGTTTTGCCGGCATTTTTGCTTTATTTACTTTTGTGCTTTTTGGTCGATTTTTGCCGCTTCCGTTGTTATCCTTTTGCCTCTCAGCCGCAGCCGAATGCCGGCGGAAGTGTTTCTGCTTAATTGTGTGTCGGCTGATTTGCTGGTTGCGCTTTTGTGTCTGGGCGGCCAATTCATTGTGGGCATAGGAAAAGCTGTTGGCAGCTTCTCTTTCGACGTTTTTATGTCGTAACGTATATTAGTTAATGCATACATACATACATTAAAGTCATAAATATTGATTATGAATCGGTTGAACGAGGAGCAAACAGTTAAAATGAATTACATTTCCATTGCGGCGCCCCATGAGCTTAGGGAGGCTGGATCGCAATCGCTTTTGTTATTTAATATTTAGCTGTGTACAAACGCGCACTTTAACATTGAATTTTAGAAATTCTTTAAAATATCATTATCCTTTTGCACTAGTGTTTATAACAGAAATTATTTGTGGAGCCAGCACTTTTCACTGAAAATATTAAATGTCAAATAAAACCACGTGTTTTATGGCGTTGCGCTGAATTTACAGTTACATTTGCTGCTGCAGTTTCTTTTGTTTTGTTTTTCTGTATTTATTTTGCGTGTCTGAAGAACGTACAATAAATTTGAATGTTAGCAGAGTTTCTAAGCAATTCGAAATGAATTTCCGTCTATAATTTACGTATGCAAACGTGCATATACATACATACATATGTATTTGGAATTTTAAAGTTTATTGCAAATATAATGTATGGGACTGAATGAGATGACGTTAGAAATAGAAAACGAACAGTAAATAAGTGTGCATGTACATATGTAAAAGGTGTAGCCTCTATAACTTCAAATATACATATTTTTTATGTAAAATAATATTTTAAATGATAATATTAAAAAAGTAATTGTAGCACTACATAGCATTTTTTATCAACTTTTGCAATTGTAATTATTAATTATTTTTTATGCAGTATTTTTTCTTTCTTTGATATTAATTCAAGTTACACTTTTTGAGCGTGGGGATCGATAAGAAAACAATTCTTTTTTTTTGAATATATGAGAAGTTAATATTGATTAAAATATTTTTATTATCTTACAATACATGTAGGTTATTCAGCAATTTTTTAGAATTTAAACTATAGATTTATGGTAACTGAAATAAGAAACATAAGTTTTAGACTTGATAATCAATGGATTTGTTCCGCTTGAGATATGCAAAAATACGCATAAAATTACGAAAACATTTTGCGCATACTTTGTGATCGTGTTAGGTTTGTATCCATTACGGAATTTCTTGATTCAATTTGAGAAGGATTGATGCTTTTGTTAATCGTACCACACACAAAAATAACCGAAAGCAAGTTATATACATATTTATATATGTTTGTACATATGTATATATAAAACTCTACATATTAGTTTAATTTGTTTAGATTTTTATTTATTTTTTTAATAAAAATTTATTATTTTAATAAAAATATGAAAAATTAAAAAAAATTAGATTAATTTGAGAAGAATTGATCCTTTGATCATAGCCTTTTCAAAAATAATCAAAAGCAAATTATACTCGTATACATACATGTGTTTATATGTATGTACATACATATGTTTATCTATACATAAAACTCTAGATAGTATTGAAATTTGTTTAGATGCGAATGCCTAGCAACTATTTGCGTACGTACATATGTACATACGTACATTAACATATACATACATGATACTATAACATTACATATACTATAGCAACAACACTGTATTGTGAAAATCCATAAATACCTTTAAGAACTCTATAGAAATATATTAACAAACATATGTATGTATATATGTATGTACATACATCACGTCCTTTCAAAAGAATTTACCCTTTTCTTCTATTTAAACTTTTTGCTTTTTCAATGCTCAGTTTACCACGTTAGTTATAACGGGTGCCTCGTTGTAATCAATAGGGTAATCTTGTGTAGAAATTCTATAATTTTACAACTTTCATAAAAAAAACCGTCATGATTTTCAAGTTCTACTTAACCGATTTACTTTAAGTTTGATGTGAGCTTTCCCTATCGAATATCTATGATTTTGAGCCATACACATTATAGCGCAACATTTTTTTTGCAGAATTTATAATCTTTTTATTTTTTATTTTAAATCATTTAGAGGATTTGTATCGTGCGAGACAGCTCAACAACTTTTTAGGATTTAAATTTTCTCACTTTTTATGTATTGTTAAAATATATAAACCACAATATCCTCTTAAAAAATATAATAATAATATTTTTAACAACATTTATTGCATATATTAATATGTGCTTTCTTCTCCAAATTAATTAAAATCTCTAAGAATCTGTGTGAATACTTTTGTTCAAACACCCTTTATATGCATGCAAAAGGTGTGAGCGCTGTTATTGTACTGAAACAATGGTGCCTTATATTTTAACACTTTCATTTACATACCAACATACGTATTTATTTAATTATATTTTACTCTATTTAGTTGCCATGGACATTTAACATTCATTGTCAGTCTTCATTAAAATTGCAAAGCGTCCAACTGCTGACAACAACACCGGCAACACAAAAACACCAAGCATACCGACAACAATGGCAGCAACTACGAACAGGCGCTGACGGCTACGAAAAATGCCTGCAATGTTTACTCAACAATTGGCGCTCGGTTGGTCGCAGGTTCTTAACCGTTGCAGAGCATTGGTGCCTTTGTATGCAAAGCTATTGCATTGAGCTGGAAAAGAATCTTAAACTTATTTTCTACTCATGTATTCAAACAGGTCTATGCAAAAAGCTCAAGTAAACAAAACAGACGAAGTTTTGAAAAGCATTCGCAGGATGTTGATAATGAAGTGTGTGAAATTGTTGTACAGCGCAAATGTGATTTGCATACAGAAAATACTGTGTTGTTTCTTAGCTACGGCTTAAAGACAACAATTTGCAAGTCTAATGCAAAATTTTTCAAGGACTCCGACGTTCTGAGTTTAACCTAGCAAGAGTTGAAGATACAAAACATAAAAGTTATACAAATGTGGATAATTGGATTCACTAATCAACTGAGCAACACTAGTAATTGTATGAAGTAAACAACACACGTACCCTGTCTTCTATATTCTGCTTATGTGGCTATGTAGTCGACGCCAACGTTTCAGCCGCATCTAGAGTATTCCTCAACCAGCAACTGCAGTTCTCAAGTGTTTTTTAGCATGAAATATTTATTTTAGTTCTACCCATCTTGATTCATGGTTTTACAATGCCAACAACACCAATTATAACTTCGAAATCTACGAGTCTAGAAATTTCTGTTGACTTCGTCAGGCTATGTGGATCTTCATAAATACAAGCAAGTGTGGTTAAAATCGTCATAGTGACTTTGAAATAATTGTTGAAAACCATCTTAGCATTCTATCTGCTCTTCACTGTTTTGGCAAATAGAAATTGGAAATATATTCAGAAAACAACGAAATCGTATAATAAAAGTTCACGCTCAATTTTTTTAAATCGCCCACTTTTTACTGAAAATATTTAAAAAATAGAAAGAAATTAATATAAACTGTCACAATTTGACGCTCTTCCACTTCCTTTTGTCATTTGTTTATTTGGTATTACCAACCGATTGCACTACAGTTACAAATTAGACAGACCAACCTATATAATTTATTTTTATTTTTAAATTAATAATCTTTTAATTAAAGTAAAAGTAACTCAATCGTCGTTTGCATTTTTTGCTGAAACAAAAACAAATACTAATCAACATAAAAGGTCATCAAATCAAACTAAGGCAAATATACGTATAAATAAGTATGCATATATATATATATATATATACATGTATGCAAATATATAAATTGTGCGACTCAAGTCCAGACACAATTAATTAAAAGTTTGCCTTTCTCATATTCAAAATGAACTTTTGCTTGCCACAGTAGTTGCAACTTAGGTAATTAGCACAACCACACATAGCAAGTGTTTGCAATTATACAATTTAAACTTAAAATAAAAACAAACAAAAATGTATGTGGAAACAATAAAAATATAAAGTGGCAATACTTATAACGGTGTTAAGTTATAACTGTAGCAAGCAGGAAGTGCATGCGGAAATTCAATTCAATGAGTCATCTCTTCATACACATTGTTATTTTTGTCTGCAATGAGAGCAGAGAAAATTCACGAATGTTATTGACACTTCGACAACAAACAAGTTGACATATTGCTCACAAGCAAATACACAAACAAAAAATAAAAAGAACTTGCCAACGGCTGCGGAAGGGCGCATGGGTCCATGACAAACAAACGTTTCGCGATAAACGAATAAAATGCTGCAGGATAAACAGCCAAATAGATTGGCGGACAAACAGCTCGTGGTGTATGTTCATATATGTATTTGTGAGGCATACAAAAGCCGAGGCACATAAAAGGCTAAGAGGATGAAACTTGCCATAAACACTTCCTTGCTTGGAACAGATAGACAAATTCATGTCAAAACATGTTTACATAAATGGATTAGGGTAGTACTTATTGAAACGAATGTTTTCCACAATTTATTATAAGGACAGACAACAAAAGTTGTTCTCTCTGTAAAGGTGTAACTCTGTAAATTACATCAAGATGTGCTTTTACAGTTATAAACCTTCGAGATAAGGTTAAAAAAAGAGCTAAAGGGTAGTAGGAAGGTGATATAATCAAAAAAATGTTCTTCTCTTTCGAACGTGTGTGCAAAAAAGATAACTAAAAACCATATAAAATATTTTTATTTTCATTCAAGCATTATTTACGAATTACGTACATACATATCAAGCTCTTCTACTACATTGGTATATACATGTGCATATGTATGTTCATTGATGTCCATTTGTATTTCAAGGAATATACTAACGCTCAACTGCAAGCATGCACACTCGACGATTGACAGCAATGTGATATATCGATTTCTCTTCAAATAGCCAATTTTATCAGTCATATAAAATGTAACTATTTCTCAAGCATCCTCTTTCAATTGACACTTGTGACATTTTAGTCTACTGCTCATTTATGTATTCACACACACAACTACATACATACATATTCGCTGGATACAATACCACTGTGCTGCAAATAGTCTACACACATACATATTTTTGTATGCATATGTCTATGCTTTATGTGCCCAAAAATGTGTTCGGACCACTATGAAAAGATTTCAAAGTACGTTAAGTCCTTCAAACTTGTTACAAATGCATACTTCTGCTAAATGTATATATTTTTAAATCTTTTTTTAGTTTTTTCACTGTAAGTTTTTAGAATATCAATAAAAAAAATTTTGTTTAGAATCGCATTTTTGATATTTGATGCCATTTGATAATGCACACCTCTCCGCGAGGCGGTTGTTTAATAATTATCATGGTTACGATTCTCCTAACCTAACCAAAATTCATATAAAGTTTGCATATTACTAATTTACATTTAGGCGTGCGTTATACTAACGTTGTCTTTTATAATATACATACATACTTCTCAAACATTTTTTAAACAAATGTTTCAGCTATTTAAATAAAAACAGTCAAACACTTAAATATTGTGAGCCACAATCGACAGTTTCCGCTATTTCCGTTTATCAATTTCTTTTTCGTTCCACTTTACACGTATTTTATTAATGTTAACGCGCTGTTATTTACACGTGACGTAAGAGAAACGTAGTCAAAGTCAGAATCATATGTTTTGCCAACAAATGTCAAAACCGCCTTCAATATATAAACGCGAGCATATTTATCTATATTACTTTTTCGAAGGCTGAAACTTAATTATTCATAAAATAGTGACAAAATGGTTAAGAAAATTCTTATGATTTGTTTAGGCAAGTGTACATTTAGTTTTAAAACAATAATAGCATTATACATTTTAGGTAATATTTGCCGGTCACCAATAGCCGAGGGTGTTATGATTGAAACAATCGAGAATGCCGGTGCATCTGACGAATGGAAAGTTGATTCGGCAGCTTTGGGTAGTTGGCATGTAGGCAATCCACCAGACCATCGAGCATTAAAGATAATGCAGAATCATAATATAAACTACAAGAATAAAGCGCGCCAAATTAAAAAAGATGATTTTCTGCAATTTGACTACATATTCGGTATGGATGAGGAGAATATGAGCGAGCTGCGAAATTTGTCACCAGCAAATTCGAAGGCAAAATTATTGTTGTTGGGAGATTTTGGTCTGGATAAAAGCGATCGTATTATCGTGGATCCTTACTATGTGAGTGAAAAACGCGCTTAACTCGGTCACTCGTACATAGATATATGTATAATTTACTTGCGTTAAATTTCTAGCAAAGAGGTGATGCTGGCTTCGAGAAGGCTTATCAGCAGTGTGTTGTTGCTTGTGCTGCGTTTTTGAAAGATGCCGCTGCGGGCAAAGTTTAAGGTGAGGGTTACAAAGCACACATCCCAAATTTACTAGGTAAATTAGTGAAATTAAAATGTACAAGACACATGTTGTAAAACACAAAATCAGCTGATATAAGTGATAAATCAAAAGAGAGGCAAATACATGAACAATTATGAAATAAAATGTTTATGTTTTATTAAAAAAAAAACCAACAAATTTTATTTTGCTGCCAAATTTATATACTATAAGGATGCATAGTGAAACCAAATTATTTAAGGTAAGTCAGTGTGTGTAGTAAGGGAATGTATTTGTTATAGTCTAAATTTCACTGCATTTGCATATTAAAATATTAATCTTTTTTACACTGCATCATGTTTCCTAATAAACAATTAATAAATAATTTTTAATACAAACGTCGTATTATATATTGTTGCTAAATATCCCACTGTAACAACCAAATTTTCTATTTTTACACGTCAGATTTGAGTATATAAAAAAAAACAAAGAAAATCAGAAGTTGCAAAATTTCTTATGTAAGCTTTCTTATTTCGATACTAATTAAATAAAGTAAATATGCTAGTTAATGTTTTTACTAAATATTAAATAATCACAATCTTAGTAGTTTAAATTTGAAGTTTATTGAGTCCCACCAAATATGAAACCTCTAAAAATCCTATTCGTTTGCATTGGTAAGTAGATAACGAAAGATTGTAAAGAATTGATAAGCTATTATAAATATGCAGGTAATACATGCCGCTCACCAATGGCGGAAAGCGTCATGAAGCATTGGGTGGAGGAGTATGATCTCAGCTGGAAGGTGGACAGTGCTGGCCTGAGAACGTGGAATGTTGGACGTAAGCCGAATGAGCGCTGTATTAAAGTACTGCAAGAAAATGGTTTAACAACGGATCATATCGGTAGACAAGTACGGCTGCTTTCTATTTCAAGTTTATTTGAAATTCTTTTAACAATTGACATTCGTTGCACAGATTTCAACAATGGACTTTTACAATTATGACTATATTCTTGCCATGGACGAACATAATTTGCACGAGCTACAAACGCTTGCCAAAGACCCAAGTCAAGAAAGGTGTGCAAAAATCGAACTGCTCGGAAAGTATATTGACCGACCGGAAGACCAAATCATACGTGATCCATATTTTGTGAGTGCAAACTTTTAATGAATTTTAAGTGTTTAATGAAACAATCAATATAATTAAATTTACAGTGCAACTCAATGGGCGGCTTTCGTTGCGCGTTTCTTCAAATTACCGAAAGCTGTCAAAATTTCATAGCCGCACACATGTATACCGATTAGAAGCACTCAGAAAGTGAAAAACGCCAAAAAATTGAAAACTTGCTTAGAGATGTGTGAAAATGATACACTCATAAATTTCATGTAAAAAATTGTAAATCGCACGTACTATAATTTATTTCATATCAGTAAACAACATTTGTTTATAAGTATTGTATATTATGTTTATAACTATTTCATACAATATCACCGCGTATAACACGTTCCAAAAAGACATTCCAATCATATTGTAATTGCGCATACGCAGCCTTTTTCTCTACATCACCCATTGCTGAATATTTTATCGAGTTCCATACCAAACTCTTCAATGTCTTTAAACCAGCATTGCTCGGCGCAAAACTCATAATCGCATAGTAGAAATCATAACTCAAACCTTTGGCTTCCCAAAAGCCTGGATCATCATTCGAAATCACTATTGGTATATTATCGGACATAAAGTAGCCACCAGGATGATTGCGTAAGTCCCAAACTAAGTTTAAAACTTGATTGGACAGCGGACTAACTTCCAACGCAATATCACGCTCTTTAACGGCCTTACTGAGTATAGGGTGTTTCATAAGTGAGTAACCATGTCCGATGCGTGTGGTGTTGAGTAGTATGGCATCAATCAAGTTCAAATCCACTGACGTGCCCAACCAATCTGAAATAAAAGTATAATTATATAATTTACTTGTTGCTTCTTCGGTGAATGCTCACTTGTTTCGCCTGCATGAAAGAAATACTTTGCGCTTTTCGGTAGATCTTGTAAAATAGACACAAATGACTGCAATGACTTTCCCTGATCCTCATGCCCTATCAGATCGAAACCAATAATGAAATCAGGATAGCGTTCACTGTAATAATAGTTTACTTTTAATTAGTATTATGTTAGAGGTAAGAAAGAGAATTTTACAGCCACTAACTGGAAGTCTTTGAATGTTTGAAAAGCTTTGAATATTTCAGTTTCGTCCGAACCGCGGTGCGCTACATAAATAACTTTCAAACCATAGAAACCCAGATGTGATTGTTTAAATTCTTCCACTAGAGCCATAAGCAGCTCGGCTGCCTCATACTCATTTGCTACCGTGGAGCCATTGGCGCCATATAGCTGAAATAGAATTGCGAATAAATTGGAGTGCTAATAAGGTAAGAAACTAATAAAGTTTAGAAAACTTCTATTCAAGACCGTAAAAGTATTGATTATAGATATGGCTTACTAAGCCGTTAAGCTTACCGGCTTAAATTTCATACGCAACTCTGCGTACATTATATTATCCTCGTACATTTCCTCCATCAGCTGCCAGTGGAATGTGCGGAAAACGGGCTCGTACCCAACCGTATCACTTATTGTATCGAATATGTCTTCGAAACGTCGCCACACTTTGTTTTGTTCACTGTACTCAACTGCAAGAGATGCCACAACCGTTCAGTTAAGTGTGAATACTATTTTTTAAACGACTTACATTCCGGCAGCCTTGAATATAAGCTTAGCTTGGACTTCAAAAATCTATCGTAGCGATTCTTCGACAAAGTATGCTTACGCTCCTCCTCTACATCGTAATATTTTGTACGGCATCCATGCTTTTGCGCATTTTCACGAAAACTGAGCACCACAGTACCGCGCGCCGTGTGACATTTCAACAGACCGGGCGTGTAAGTCAGGTTCTTAATCATCCAATCAACAGAGACCGCCGGTGTCCGATGTACATGCAAAATGGCACCTTTCGGCATAGCCTGTATGAATTTGAACACGTTACTTTGTTCTATGAATGGTTTAGCTTTGAAGAAATGCAGCGCTGGCGCATGTTCATGTGGGTGTTCCATGCCATAGGTGAGCTCCATCAATTTGTGATGCATGAAAATCTGATGTGCTTGCAACTCATTTTCATCGAGTTGCAAATGTCCACCGGTAAGTAGCAATTGCTCTGCTTCGATCATTTGCTCACGTTGCTGCGCATATTCTAGGTGGTCAAAAATAATTATTTTATATTTTATGTATAAGTTTGTGCGTTTAAAAATATTATATTATGCATTAACAACAGTGGCACTCAAACTGATAGCAGTTAATCTTGTTTGCATGAATTTCTGTTTTCTTTTTATAGAAACTTTGAAAAGAACCACTGTATATGCTTGATCTGAGCAATTCAAAGTGAGGTTATGTGATGTGAAATTATTTGCTTCAACTTTTATAAATTTCATACACATACTTCTTAATATAATATTTGATGATTTGATGAATATACAATATTTGTAATGTAAAATGAGTATATAATTATGTACTCACTTAATATTTTCGGTTCATCGTATAGACGATCGCCTGGCAGAGTCTTCTCATACAAAACGCCACTCACCTCAGGCTGTGGCGCCATTATCTCTTGTGGCGGAGTTGCAACACGGGCATCTAAATTTCAAAATTCTTCGGTGAAAAGTATTTAACAATTAAATATATGTGTTAAAATTACCGCAAAACTGAGCAATATGTAACAGCAATGGTACATAAAATATAACGCCTTGAATCTGTCGCCAGGTAGACATTTTGAATGTACAATAAAGTTGAGAAGCTGTTGAAATAAAAAAAAAATAATCGCAAAAAAAGCTAACACAAATTCATAAACTAAATATTTTTTATAAAAATATAATAATATCCATAATTTTAGTATATATATTTTACACTTTAAGAGAGCATATATGTCGATCAATATCAAGAAGCCTAGAGCGAAGATTAAGCTCTAGAGATAACTTAGACAATATTCGATCTTTCTGGATAAAACTGGGAAGAATTACTCTTAAAGTTTAAAAAGTGTAACAATTACGATATTGTTTATCAATACTTGAATTGAAAATAAAATTAAACAAGAAAAATCTTCTAGCAACTATATGTATGTATCGGTCAAAGATTTGCAGCCAACGGAAAACATTTTGCTAGTTCTTTCTAGCCACGTTGTTTAATATAAACAATCTCCAAGCCGAATTAGTTTTGATTGCAGCTACCATATATGTATAGTGGTCCGATCTGAACTATTTATTCGAAAATTGTAACATTATCTTGGACCGAATTTCGAAAAGGTATACTGTCAAACAAAAAAATTTCCATAAAAAGACTTAGTTCTTATCGATCAGTTTATATGACAGCTATAGTGACAGGTGGTCAAATAATGAGTGGGCAGAACCGCCAATGAGCAACTTATTAGGGAGAAGAGGACATATACAAAAGTTCAGATCGATATCTCAAAAACTAAGGGACTAGTTTGCGTATATACCGAGAAGTGGATGTGGCGACATATCGACATTATTTATATATAGACTTTATAGGGTCTTCGACGTTTCCTTCTTAAACTAAACTTAATATACCCTGTTCAAGGTATAAAAGTTGCTTAAATCTAAGTAAATACGTGCATGTGAATGTATATACAATAAGTGTTCTTGTGTAACATTTAGCCTTGACTAATAGCGAACTCATGTAAAAGATTATTGACCATAGTACAGGCGTGTAATCGTATGCATATATAATATTTTCCGAGTTCGGAATTGTTCGCAATTTATTGAGACTGGCTTAGGTAATGCGCGCTCATTAGATGCTCATAATGCCTAAGCAAAAAGCAAGAAACAAAATCAGAACAAGACTCAGCGGTCACTCAACCTCAGCCAAAAGATGCCTTCAATATTATTTTTTAATACAGTACGAGTATTCGAAATTGTTTTGGAAGTAATGAATTAATTTAACGTAAGCTTAAACATATTTAGAAACAGGTCTGCAAATTAAACAAATAGTCTAAGTAGATAAGTGTGTCATTGAATGCTATTTTGGTATTAATAAAATAAAAAAATGGAATAATTAATTTAAAAAAAAATCGTGTGAATTAATAAATACATATAATACCAATTTGTATCGTTTACCATAATTTTACTTCTTGGAGTGCTAGATTATACTAGATCAAACGAAATCCGCCAGATAATATATTTGTTTATGATTAATTGGATAGCTGTCTAGCTCATGTAACACATTATTTATATTTTCTGTTTGCAATAACATATAAAATCCATTTGGATACTAATTTTTTTATTAATTCTACTAATAGCATATCAATTGGTGTTAGACCAGCACACATATACCATACATATGACGCTCATTTTGAATTTTTAAATATCGTTACGTTTTTCAATGCATAAAGTCACATATGATATCACATCAAATTATGTTAAGACAAGTCACATGACATCACATCACATGAAGTTTTTTAAAGTCATGCACTTCATAGAATTAATGAAATCACATCACGTCGTTTCAGTTAACCATTCATCTTGAATCAGAGCAGATTTCATCACATCTTTGAGATGTCAAACTTCATCACAATTGTTAAACTCTCATATAGAGTACTTTAATTGTTAACTGTCACCCTTCTTCAACCGCATGATTTATATAAAGTGGATCGCATTACACCACATTCTAACTTTTTACATCGCATCGCAAACTTTCATCACATCACCTCGTTTCTCATAGTCACAGCACATCTATGAGAATTATCAATACTTTGCTTTATTTAATTTTAATATATAACGATTTCACATCCCATTTTTAAAAAGTCTTAGTAGATCGTATTATTTCATATCACGTCACTGAGAATTAACATCACATCGTACCATTTAATATCCAATCACATGTCAAATCATATCATACCGCATAATGTTATGACTTTTCCACACACACATTATCATATTAGTATGTAATTCTTATGTATAAAAAGGAGACGTTTTAGTCTATTTTTTTCGGGACATTTGCATATTATTTTAAGTGTATAGTGCTTATTTTTTTAGTTCAAGTTCAAGTACAAATATTTCTGGCGAATAGAATAATGTGTGTATGTGCATATTTTAAAGACTAATTAGACGCTTCTGATTTATTTATTTACACAACGCAATAGCAACATTTTTTGTGACAAAATTGTATTGAAACATTTCGATATGTATGTTCATAAATTTGTCAAAAATTTATATATAGAATAATTTGCAACAATTCTTAATGAAATTAAAAAATCATAAAAATACAAATTTTTTAATTTATTACCAAATAGTGGTAGTTATAGTAGGGATGTATTTAATTCGTTTTAATTACTTTACAACGTTGAAATTACTTTTAATGGTAGCAAAGTGGGATTTTAGAGGGTGCAAATTTTAGTCATCAAAAATTGTTGAATCAAAAATAAAATGTTAATTATATTTGTTGTAGATTCTTTAAAAATCTTTATAAACTTTAGAACATATTAGTTAAAAAAACGACATTTTTTTAATATTTATTGAATTCATAATTACTTCGGACGCTTTGTAAATATATTGATTTAAAAAAAATTAAAATGGCACCGTTAATAATTATTCATAAATATGTATGTAGTTTAAGTCGACGCACGTACAAATATACATATGTATATTTAATCAAAAATTCATTTTATAGATATAATTTTATTAATTTTAAACTAATTATTTTATAAAAAACGAATAATTTTGTTGTTAAACGAAATTTTTCTTACAAATTTCTGATATTTAAAGCATTTTAAGCAATTTTTGTTTTTTGCAAGCACGTATTGAGGCTTCTGTATTTTTTCGAAATTATTACCGTACAAAATACTAATAATAATATTTTCAAAACTATTTGAACAAACGCATTAAAATGGTAAAATTTCTTACTATATGTAGTTTAATCCCATTTTTACTTATTATTTCATATTTTAAGCTATATTTGTGAATATCCCCAAAAACTTTCCGACTACAAATGTTTAGAGCACTTTTAATTTCGGCATTACAACGCTTAACACACACACACCTGTTTACCACTTTAAAGTGAAATTCCAGACACGCAATAATGCAACTGTTAAATGTTTTTTTTCTGTAATTTTGTGATATAACTTACACAATTATCAAATAAAATGTCAACGCAGTTGTTTTTGCTGTTGTTGTTGCAATTGATGTACTTTTTCAAGCAAGCTGCGCAAAATATCGGTCTGGTGTTGGCGATTGCCGTTTTCAAACTGAAAGGAAGAACCGGAGGTCTCATTGTTTCATTTCAATTTAAATTGTCCAGAGTCATTCAATACATTCGCGATATTTCGTGCCATTTCGAAAATATATTGTGGGTATTGTTCTTGAATTTGTGTTTCTCTTTTTCGTTTTGTTCGTAGAACCGTTCACAGATAGACAGAGCCTGTTTACATTTACATATCAACATTGTCAATTTCATGTTTACATTTGTATGCCGGTTTGTGTGTATGTGCATGAAGTGACATACTATGACATTGAAAATCAAAGCCTTGAAAATAATATTTTTTTTATATTAATGAAAATGGGTAATGTAATAAATAATAATGGCTAATTCCCGTAAACTTTCCTCGCAATGCTTGTCAGTTCAGAGTGATAGTCATAGTACTGTATGAGTATATGTAATAGTTTCGCGTTTTCACAATAGGTGTCGGTGTCATCGATTCATAATGACATACCTTCAGCATTTCAGGTTCCGCTATATGCATATATACCGTTATATTTTGATTATGTGAATGTTTAAAATATCCTCAAAAGGTCAGTTGTTGTTTTAAAACCCAATTTATAAACAATGGGTTATACTCGTAAAAAGCCCGTAATCCCCAGCGGCCTATTGATATGCATATAAATATTTTATTTAAAACAAGAAAAAAATTTTACTTCGGCCACACCGATGCTCTAATACCCTTCACATATTCACAGGTTATTTTGTGTGGCAACTATATAATATACTGGTCCGATCTGAACAATTTATACAGAGACTGACTACATAACAACTGGATTTTGGACGATCAGTTTGTATAGCAGCTATATGCTATATGGGCGATTCCGACAAATGAGCAGCGACAAATGAGCAGCGTCTTGAGGAGAAAAGCACGTGTGAAAATTTTCAGATCAGTATCTCAAAAACTGCGGTACTAGTTCGCGTATATACAGACATACGGACAGACATGGCTAAATCGACTGAGCCAGTGATGCTGATCATTTATAAATGTATATATATTTTATAAGGTCCTTGACGTTTCGTTCTGGGTGTTACCAACTTCGTGGCAAACTTAATATACCCTGTTCATGCTTTTATATAAAAAAGCAAGGTATGGTTACGTGATGTGCAATATATATTAGGGTGAATAAAAAAAACGAATATCTATAAAGATCCCTTAAACTGGATTAGGGAAAAGTATAAGCTACTGTTACCGGGTAAAAATAAATAATGGTGTAATTGAAAGCTGAAAGTGTCAAAAAGTATAAGCGTAAGATCAAAATTTAGAGTCTTAGAATAACACTTAGCCAATCGCTGACCTTTCTGAATATAACTGAAGAGAATTAGAGTCAAGGTTTAACATTTTTAACAGTTTTAATATTTTTGAATAATTCTATAATGCAAATTAAAGGTAAAAAATCGCGTAAATGTAAGTACGTGCATTTCTATGTATGTGTATAAAAGTGTTCCCTAACCTTGACAAGTAGCGAACTCATGTAAATCGTTGATTAAGCCTTGTATCCTAAACACTCGCACTCGGTTAAAAAACTGGTTAATGCACAATATTAAAAGAACAAAAATAGATTATCAGAAATATTCATGGGCCATATTACAGGCGAGTAATCATATGCATATACCAGCTTTTATGACAACGGGATTGTTCGCAATTGACTGTGACTCGCTTAGGTGATGCGCACTCATTAGATGCTAAAATTATAACAAAAAGAAAGAAGTTGCTAAGTTCACTCAACCCAAATAAATAGATGCCTTTAATATTATTTGTTCTCTTTTTTTATATAATACGAGTATTCGAAATTAATTTGGAAGTAATGAACTAATTTAACGTAAGCGTAAGCATATTTAGAAACAGGTCTGCAAAAATATAATCTAAGTAGAAAAGTGTGTCAATGAATGCTGTTTTGCTATTATTAAAATTACAAATTCGAATAATTAATTTTGAAAAACAATCGTGTGAATTAATAAATTTATATAATACCATTTTGTATCAGATACCTTAATTGTACATCTTGGAGCGCTAGATTAGACTAGATCAAATGAAATCCGCGCGATAATAATTTATTTATGATTAAACGAATAACTGTTTAAAATAACATATGAAATCCATTATGATATTTGATTTTGTAACATATCCACTTATAGAAAATCATTTGGCTTCAGATCACATCACATATGTATATGACGCAGAAATGGAATTTTTAAATATCGCTGCGTTTTTTAGTGCATAAAATCGTATAAAATAAGATCACGTTACCTCGCATATATAACATTATGGTATCATATCATCATTATATTGGTTGGAATTACATGACATCACATCGTGTTATGTTTATTCAAATCATCCACTTCCAACATTTTATCACTTGAAAACAGGATGTATCAGTTTGCAATTAATTTTACATCGGATCATATTGCATCCAATATATGAGATGTGAAACTACATTATATCGTATCACAATAGTTAAATAAACTCTCCACTCATATAGTGCGCTAGACTAGTAAGTCATGTTTTATTATATTTACAAACCTGTAATTTTACTTCACATCACATCTATGAGAACATCACATCATAACATTCCACACTTCATATTATTTCAAATCATATCAAACATATTGTCATCCCATCCCTCATATCGTATTTAAATTTTCCAAGTTCAACTTCTTGTCTATTACCAGATATTTGCATTAGAACCAAATCGTATCATTTTAACGTGACACATCAGATAAAATTTGATTGTGTCGTATGGTAAGTTTTCACATCATACATTCTCTTAAATCATATAAAACCGCAACATACCATATTATCAAATGAAATACATTACAGTATATGAAATACTACTAAAAAATCAATTCCCATCAACTTATATATTTTTTTAATAATCACATAATGTTTCATATTTATATTTCACATGACATCATCTCATAATATCATATGCTGATCACTACATTTCAATAAGTCAGCTGATCCAACCTTTACACCTCAGCATATTTTTATTTATGCTCCTTCTTTCTTCATTAATGAGTTATACAACTGTTTTATTTAAGTATAAAATAGGAAGGTTTTAGTATAATTTTTTTCGCAACATTTATATATTATGGCTCAAAAGTACGAATGTTTTTGGCGAGCTTCATTATGTATGTATGTAAGCTTTAACTCAAATATAATTCGATTTAATTATTTTAATTGAAATAAACAAAATTGGAGTTCACAGTATGAAAATTTTATTTTCATTGGTAAACATGTTGTATTAAAGGTAAAACAAAATATTTTATTACTAATAACATTAACGTAAAATTATATTAGAAATAATTTTGAAAATATTTAGTGATTAACAATATTTGGTTCTAAATATTTTATTACTATTAACGTTAACGTTAAAACAATTCTATTAGAAATAATTTTGAAAATATTTAGTTATTAACAATAGCTCTGCTTTGTTTTCAACCAAAATTAAAATAATATAAGAACTTAATTTTATTTTAAAATAATATAAGAACTACGGTATTGTTTAGGAAAAATTCTTTTACCAAAACGAATATTTTGTACCGAATGGCACAAAAAATAGTTTAATTTTTTATCTATAAAATAAATTATTTTAACAAATTTAAAATGTTTAAAAAACGTAAGTTCATTATTATTTTGTATAAAAGCTAGTATTGCGGCTTTAAAATTTATTTCCAAAGCATTTTCAAATAAAATACTAATAAAAATTATATTTTCAAAACCTGTACAAGCTAATAAAATTGCCAAAACTCTTATTATTCTACCTTTTACATATTTGAAACATTTTTTTCATTTTAACTTTCAAATTAATTATTTAAACAATTTCATTATATAATATTTCTAAGCACAAAGCAAATATCTTCAATAACTTCCAATATTGCTGAAACAAATTTCTGTAATATTACATATATATTTCAACTTCAATTATTTAGTGCGCTTTTAATTTCAGCAATATAACACTTACACAAGTGTTTTCAACTTAAATGTGCAATTCCAAGCACGCAATGATCCAATTGTTAAACGTTTTTTGTTAAAATGTTAATTTTGTAATACAAATTATATAATTATCAAACAAAATGTAAATGCAACTAAATTCAAACGTTTTACACCCACTAAACGGCAGTTGTTGTTGCTGTAAATGGACTTTTTGAACTAAACTGCGTTTGTTCGCGTTATTTGTTGCATTTTAATATTTATTTCATTTAGTTTTTATTTGTATTTATTTTTTGTTGCTTTGGTTTTTGTAGCATTTCCAAAAAAAGTGAAATTTTTCTCAACTGCTGCACTACTTACATAAATTAATTAACTACTGACCGTTGCGTACGTTGCGTTCCAAATTTCTACGCAAAATATCAGTCTGCTGTCGACGATTGCCGTTTTTAGACTGGAAGAAAGCCATGGAAATCTCATTGTTTCGTTTCAATTTAAATTGTTCAGAGTTGTACAATACATTCGCAATATTTCTCGTCTTTCCATAGAATCCCTGCAAGAACAGTGCCAATCATTTCAGCAGTAATTTGATAGTCTGAGCTGAGCCGTGTCAGCACATGATGTGCCAAAACTAATGTAATCAAATGTATTTTTGTGAGTTCATATCGCTTTCTACCATATAAAACCAACCTGAGAAATACTAATCAAAAAACGCAAAGTAGTTGAACTATGTTTTACACCAATTTACATATTCTAAATGTTACACTGAATTTTTTTAATATAATCAAAAATTTTGAAAATCTAAAACCCCTTTCGAATATAGAAAATACTTTCTCAGATTTGGTTATGAATATTTGGATGATTGTGAATTTCCGAAGTCAAAAGTCACTTTGATGAATGCCAAACGTCATATTCTGAATGTCAATGAGAGGCTATTATTTTCTTTAACATTTACCTAATACTTTTCTTAATGCGATCTAAGAAACGAAAAAATTTATGGCGAAGTTTCTGAATATTCAAAAATTTATTTTTGAGAATTACTTATGATTTCCTTTTTGTTCTACATTCCATTTTTCTTCTGTTCTACATTCCATAATAAACTGTTACATCAAACAACACCCCCTTGTAATACATCATTGATGAACAGATCCCACGCACGTTCTAAGTTCTCAAAGGCAACA